GTCGGAAGTGTGGGTGACCTTACATTCTCTTCCCTCTTTATAAAACCGATTTGTAGGCAATATTTTACGCTACTGAGGTGATAATTTCTGTCCAAATGAATGACACCTGAAACGCAATCTGATCTTAGTAACAGCAGTGCTGCATTTATTTGACGTGGTGGAGCTAGCAAATGTGTAACAAACAGTTACAAACGCTGGTTTTAGGACTTTTTCTTGCCCATTCTCTGCGACTCTCAGTATATCGATGAAAGGTGCTACTTTCATATATTTCTCAAGGAACCACATTGTGGTGGAAATAAACCCATTTCCTTGCTTACAAAATTAAAGAAAAGCTAAGATTCAAACAAGAGAATGCCCACACTAAGGTTCTCTATTATAATGTGAATAAAATCGTATCTAAGGCCTTGGAATAAAATATATTCTGAAGAAATTACAAAAAATCCCGCCAATCAAATGGGAGTAGAGGAAATCGTCGCTACATTCAGCTTACTACCAAAGTATCCGCCTTTTGCGGTGCCTAGTCCCTCCATGCGTGTCCAGCTGAGAGGTTGGCTGCTGGGCGCGAACATGCAAGGACACGCTGCTGTTTGCACGTAGCAGAAACTGCTGGACAATGCATAACGTCATCCCCACCCCTCTCCTCTTTCTCTTGAGCAATGCCTTGACCACAATGGGAGCAGCCACAGCGTGAAAGGTAAGAAGTCGAGTTATCGCGATTCAATCCCCTCCCGCCCCCCTCAAAAAATTTGTACAATCAAAATTCACCGGAAGTTTAATAAGTTTAATCAGATTGTAGTGTATCAAGAAATGTGTTAGAAAGAACCCATTTCCACCTAAATCAGCCGAGAAATATGGTCTTCATGTTAAGCTGCAATCCTTTCCAGACGTGGAGGGAGAAGTTCTGTAACTGTAGAGCATCCATCGTTATTAATATCAGGAGAACATTTCGACTCTCATCACATTATAAAGAGGCGTTTTAACTATCAGACAACAGAAAGTCACCAAGTTATGCGCCGACGGCATTACATACAGACTGTGGTGCGTAGCAATACAATTTCGTCTGAAGAGGTTATAGCTTCAAGTAACCTAAGGAAAGCCAATGTTCGCGAGTCTTTAAAAACAAGATTAACAGCAAACACTCTAGTTATATTCAAACAAGTACCACTCATGCATAGTTAAAAGCGAGATTTAACTTAAGAGCGCTAAACAAGCATTGTAAGACCACGAGCGATGCCAAAATCAACATTTTGGTCATCGCAACACACGCGTCTTACACGAATGTGCATTAGAAAGATGAAAGGGGATTCATTTGGTGATTTTTTTCTTGTCTTAAACTGTCAGGCAATCAAAACAAAACTAATTTAAAAAAGTAACAGTTCCCTCGTCAAATTTCATCATTCAAGTGAGCATTTGCTTTCCCAAAATAAAATTCGGCATTATAATCTGACCATAAGCGTTTTAGCCGAAATTCTAGCAATGGGAATGTCCGCTATCACAAATGCTAGGCAATCAAGTTATGGCAAGCCATTTCGTAATACTTTGTCTATTTAGTTACCTCTTCGATTGGCGGCCAATTTGGCGATCACCTTGTTCTTGGTTGGGCTTTGGGTCGGGCCAAAGCGCCACGCCTCCCCCTCCTCTTTTAATACGAGTATTCAACCATGCCTAAGACCTTCTGCTAATAAATGCGAAGTCTCAAAACGTCACGCTGTGACTCACACCTCAATCTTCTTGTAGGCACGTTAAGAGGTCATACTGATAACTTTGAATTCGGGACAGTTATGGGGAAACCAACTGCTGCGCCGCCAACGGATCTGTGGCGGCACTTCCTATCTAATGCTGGAGGGCTAAAATTAAAAATGAAACTGCGATGGTGTATTAGGCACCGCCAACCTTCCTTTAGCCTTAACAAAGACCAAACGCATCTCGATGCTGCATTGCAGTCGCAGCTCATAGTAACACCATATTGAAAAGGGGGCTGAAAGTTAAGGCTGCTATTTATTCCTTCAAACCATTTTGCATTATATTCTCGGGATTCTTATGGATGTGGGTCAACGAGCCTCGTGGTAAAGTATTATGAAACTAAAATATTAGAAAGTATTCTATCAACAGGTAACCTTTTTAAGTTAGGATAAGTGCTCCGAGACGGTTTGTTAGGTATCTGCTACAGAGCACATGAAACTTGGCCATGCCCAAGGGAAGTATGCAGCATTCATTCAGAGAAAGGTTCATTCGTTCCTCCAGCACTATGCACGGATGATTTAAACGCAGCAACATATATCAACGTAATACTTTGTTTATGTGAAAATTTGATGTCTGGCGGTCACTTTAAGATTCGTCTGGTGCTTATACACATGGGCTGGCCTTCAGGCCATACTCAGGTATAGTTACTTTGTCCACCCTGGAATGCATGCAAACAGCTCCACTTGTTGCCTTCTACCCGGTGCGGCGTATAGAGACGCTGCAATAGAATCCGCATTCAAAATCCTTTGTATCTAGGAAAAGCCAAATTATATACACAGTGCTCTATCTCCTTGACTCCTGAGAATCGACTGAATATTCAAGTAGTGGTAATATTGGCTACAGAACAAATAAAAGCCTCATCTCCTTCCACTACAATGAGGACTTGCGTTATGCACAATCACTTTGCCCTCGTCTATCAATATGAAAGCATTTTAACGTCTCGAGACTTCCCACGAGGTAGAAGAGGACAATAAGTGCAGCTGAATATATGCACTTCAAGGTGAACAAAGTAGCTAGGCCTAAGTATGACTCGAAGGCCAACCGGCACGTACAAGGGGCAGAAGAATCTTAAAGTGACCACTAGACAAAGTATTACACTGCCCCCTCTTCTTTTGAGTGACGTCCTCGGAGCTCCCCTTGAAACATCTCCCGCGACAGCCATAATATATTCGGTACTGCAAGAAAGCACCCACAAGTAAGCCGCGCCAGCCGAGAGACAGCATGAGACTGAGGAACCGTACCTGGGCTTCTCGGCAGCTTCAAGTGGATCTGGAGTTACGTTCGGTCTGACAACCAGATTCGGGACCGCATACACCTATTGACCATCAATTGCTTCCAGGAATAGACGGTGGAACTCTGGTCTAAACATACATGCTACAGCGAAAAAAGGATGTGTCACTGTCCCGTACGTGAGGAGAACCTTAATGTCATTTCCGACATCTAAACACGGATTTGATATGGGAAATTCCGACACGAAACTTTTCCAGATAGTTCATGGCGGTGTCGCTTCAGTTGTTAATAGCTTTTATGTGGAACACGGGAATAAGGTGAAACCAAATGCAGACGTCAGTCTCAACCCTTTCGTTGTGAGGAATTCAGGGATTCTCCGTCATCAAGGTAAATGCGCTTCCTTCAATTCACGTGCTCTTTTGCCTGTACCTTCATCTATTGCACTTCGATAGAGTCAGACTTCCATCTACATATGTATAGTTCATTATTGCCGGCGCACAACGCCAGAGTGCGCTTATTAATCCTGGGTTTCTCCACAAAAAGTCGAATCCTTTTGCAGTCTTGTCTGCTGGTTGGATTATAAACTTCTTGTCGTGAAAAGAGAGGCTTCGACTTTCCGGTCAAGGGAGCCTGATTTTGGGGTCCAACAGATTATCAGACTCATAGACACCCAAACCCAGAACATCAACATCAAGAACAAGCGACATGCATCTCCAGATCCTGTGCCATTTGTAGGTACTGAACCAATGCATCATCTGATCGAAACATTGCTCTTCGGCTCGTTCGTACGGTTCTTTTTCGGAAATCAGTCGATTAATTAGCAAAGTTTAGCAACACAAACACAGGATATCAGTAAGGCAGAGGTGTCTGTTGGGCAATAGATTTTGCCGGACACAGTCGCTTTTATCAAACGACCAACGAAGAACAAGTCGCAGAGAGAGACCTTACCTTGGCTGTAGCAGGAGGTCTTCAAAAGCACTTTATACCTTAAAGTCGTTAAAAAATCGTCGGGTTCGCTTTTCGCTGCCACCAGTGTAGCTGTAGGGTCTCAAGACAAATGGGCCTGGGCATAACCCAAAGATCAACCCATGTGTACAAGGACCAGACAATTCCTAAAGTGACCACCAAACCTCAGCTAGTCACATGAGCAAAGCAAAATGTAGCATCTCGAGACTTCCCATAGGGTGGAAGAAGGCAGTAAGTGCAGCTGGATACATGCATTCCGAGGAGAACAGAGCAAATGGGCCTGAGCGTTGCCCGAAGGTCAGCTCACGAGTACACGGTCCGGACAAATCCCAAAGTGACCGCAGAAAGTTAGGTAGTCACCTTAAAGTCGTTCTCAACACAATTTGTCGTGAAAGATTCAGAGATTCTTCTGCCACCGATGTAAATACACCTACTTTACGCCGTAGATATTTGCAACAAACGGTAGATACTGGGGTAGAAGTTTCTAAAAATATCAAGTTCACATTTTGCTGTCACATGCATTCCAAGGAGAGCAAAGTAATAGTGCCTGAGCATGGAACGAAGACCAATCTACGCGTGCGTGAGCCAGTCAAATTTTAAAGTGGTCAAATGAACAAATCACTGTAATATATTCTAACTTGTTTAAGTGGACTTTTATAGGTGAGAGGCGGAAAGCAATAGGAAACGTGGATCACTTGTTTGGGTCCTATGAGTGGTGATTTAAGTC